GGGGTGTGTGTAAAGGAGTGTTATTTTATATTTTAGTCAGATCTCACTTAAGAGTTTATCCAATTAAATTTGGAAAATCTATGTACATGAAATGCAGATCTATTACTTGATAGGTAAAGAAATTTGTTACTGTGCAAATTATATTTAAACACAAAGAACTAGCCTAACTCCTGACTATTATATTTTTCATACAGAATCACAATTGTATTGCTACTCACACAAAGAGTAAGCAAGTAAAATCGTTTTGATTTCAGACATTCTACTTTTTCACAGAGAATTTAATAAATTAAACTTCATGGATTTAATGATTTTTCTAACACAGTACACAGAAACCGAATTATTTACTACGTTTTAAGAATTTCTGTAACACACTACTTCCAGGATGAACATTCATTTTTGGTTCATAGTTCCTGGAACTGACAGCGAGTTGATGGCTATCTATTGACTATATATATTTTTATCAGTTTTCTTGTCAAAAGTGATGGAAAGAGAATGGATTGTTTCAGGTCAGAAAATAAGTTGAAAAGCAACATTTTTATTTAACTGCAGTTTGGTCTCAGAAATCTGATTAAAATTAAATTTGAAATTAACAGCCTGTAATTAAAGCCCAAATGGGCAATAACCTATTACAGTCATCTGAATAAAAAGCTGCATTGTCTCCCTCAGATTTTAACAATTATATTAGATATGGAAGCAGGATGAAAAGACTTTTAATTTTTGAAGACTAACAAACTAAGACTGAGAAATACTCTTTCATGACACTGCATACTGCACCTAATAGCAAAAAAGAATTACAACCTTTACACTACAGCCTTCTTCAGAACATTCATCTTTCCAGATGATTTTTCAGATTTGCCCCCTGCTGTGATGGCCTTCTGGTTTCTGACTTTATTGTCTTCAAGTTTCATTAGCAACTCTGAGAGAACATCTTTATTGTTTGAACCGTTTCATTCAATTTTGCATGAACCAGGAGGGCATGGCCTTTTTTTTTCTCCTCTTCTGATGTACCTGCACATGATGAAAAGTGAAGAGTTCAGCAATGATGGGGCAGAATTATGTTCCTATAGGCCTCAAGTTGCGCCGGGGGAGGTTTAGCTTGGACATTAGGAAAAATTTTTTCACCGAAAGGGCTGTCAGGCTCTGGAATGGGCTGCCCAGGGAGGTGGTCGAGTCCTCATCCCTGGAGGGATTTAAAAGAAGGATAGATGAGGTGCTTAGGGACGTGGTTTAGAGGTGGGTGGCAGGGTTAGTGTAATGGCTGGACTTGATGATCTTAAAGGTCTTTTCCAACCTAAATGATTCTATGATTCTATGATCTGCACAGGGGCTGAAATAAATACGAGAACAGACCAAAGCACAGGCCTCACCACCTCTTAAACTGTTTTAAACCGATTCAGCGGGATGTCTGGGACCAAACCACCTTCAGGCATGCAGGCACCTATAGACCATACCTATGTTGTCTGAAAAGCGGACGTGTGGCCCGGTTAAATTGTTAGATCTTTGAGCCTATTTCTTTTAACATGTACTCAAAAGAAATCCTGCCTGGTAAGGAATCACACTTCACGTGTTCTCTCTTGCCCACTTTAAATCCAAACCACTATAATTTCTCTCACCTATGCAGCTGCAAAATTGGGCTTGCACGTTCTAACTTCCCGCTCCTGCGCAAACGTCGCCTGAGGAGAAACCGCGGCCAACGCAGAGAAGC